GTACCTCACGTCTGGCAAACGATCCGCTGTCAACACCTACACCTTCGTTGTCCCGAATCGCTCGAATTATTAATCGTGCCGTCCCATGTGACACACCAGCGGACCAAATTCCATATGTGTTCAGTCATCGAGGGATGAAAACGAACAATAATATTGTCTTAGGGGTGCTCGTCTTAACCCAGTGTTCACCACAATGATCTCTATGTAATAATATTAATATTTAATTATAAACGGGTTATGAACACTTGAGAAACTGCATCAATACAAGATGGCTTTAACTCTTTGAGGCACACGATATTAAAGAAAATAAAAACCCCAGTTGCACAGAATTTCTTTAATATAAAAAAAATTATATAAAAATAAAATATTGAACCGTAGGACTATGAGTAACTTCAACTTTTCGAGGTGGGTTAAAAGATATCCCACCATGCATAAAAAGCTAAGCAAAAAGAACAGACCGACTATACCAGTACACTATCCAGTTAGTACAAAGAGATCATTGGTTCTCCAGTTCGATAGAAGAAAAGCACCAGGGACGTGTCGTCGTTTGTTTGGCTGTTATTCGAAGACGATGAACAACCCCCTGGGGAAAAATTCTTCCGTGGCACGGTAGGAATATTCCATATGCCTCTAAAGTTACGATGGGAGATAGAGAGAGAAGAAGGTGGAGAGAAAGAGACCTGGACTGTAGAGGGACGAAGACGACATAGAGAGAGCAGCAAAAGGCTCGCCACGAAGTCTCTGGGAGCTGCGCGTGGGCTCGGTGCCAGGGGCTTTCTGCCAAAAGAAAAAGAGTTCTCGGAAGGAGGATCCTCTCTCGCGTGCTGCTGGCCCGGAGTTTTCGAGGGCTTCACCGGGACAATCGACCGGGATCTTGCCAAATCCCGCGTACGGGTTAATTGAGTAATGCTTTTTGCGGTTGATGACGCGAGCCACCTGGTCTATTCTCGATCAGGCCAGCAGCTGATCACCGGTGTGGCCATTTTTCATCGTCCCTCGCTCGAAAGAAGGAGAACACTTGCCCTCCTTACTTAAAATGTCCAATCGAAGGAATTATGGTTTTTCAAGATTTTTTTCGAAATATTTTCTTCAAAATTCCAAGGTCTATCACTGTGCTAAACCTAATTAAAAAGTCAACGTTACACTTGGTGACCTCTCTTTGTCAGTGCCGAGGAGCCTTCGAACACTCATCCGAGGATTTACTGTAAAGCCTGTCTGGCTACGTACGGCCGTTTTCACTGTGGCAGTCTGTGTGTTAACGTCCTCTTCAGGGACGTATTTCTTAAGACCAGAAGTAATATTATTGTCCATTTTTCAGGTGTATTTAATTAAAATATATTCGTAAATATCACCAACAATCAATTAGTAGAGTGCCCTGTTTTGTTGGAGAATTTCCTAGTAAATATTTAATTACAATTTTTGGAATCATGCTCGAAGGAAAGGAAAGCATACACATACGTGCCAGTATTCCTCAAGAGGTTAAGAGAATAGAGACAAAGAGGGGCTAACGAATACAAGAAGATAAATCATTCAGTAGTCGATAATAACCGGTTTAATCGCACGTGATAGTTTCTTTTACGAGCGTCTCAGGCTTTTAAAGGCTGACTGGATGTTAAGGGACCGTGGCGGTTGTAGAGAGGAATAGTTGGCTGGATTAAACGGTGTACCCAGTTAAGTTTATTCAGTCCTTGAAAATCGGTCTCCCCTCGAATCTTAATATTCGAAAGTAGCCGGTCACCGTCAACTATCCCGGTTCCACGAATCGACGATTAATTTCGAGGAAGTATCGGACACCGTCTAATCATCACGGTTCCTTAAAGACTCATTTATCTGCGCTCCCGATCCCGTTATCGAGCCAGTGCCAATTTCACGAGCCTTGATTATTTATTCGAACCGTTTCGTGGTTCGTTATCGACAATGTCAGAGACGGAAAGTTGGACGTCTTTCGACGATCGTCTTTCTGTCGGATCGGATAGCGCGCAACCGTCACTTTAACCTGCATACAGATTCTTCGTGGCCACGATCACTTCGTGACTCGTTCGAAAATTACGAACAACAATACTTAACCGTCGATAAGAAGCTGCGTGTGTGTTGGTATCGTTCCAAAGTTTAAAGGCCAGCTATCGATGACTAAGCCCCCTGTAGTCAGGTAGAAAAGCTCTGCTCTTATCATTCGATTTTTTCTTTCCTCCCTTCTTTTTTCACGCCTGAAAATAAGTGGACGATAGAAACGAGGGCGTACAGACACGTTTTTTTTTGTGGGTTGTCTCGATTACAGGATTTATCACAAGGATTCGAACTGGACCTTGCCCCCGTACTATTTCGTTGTTTCCGACGAAGAAAAATATCGAATCTCTGTTTGACAAATCAATTTATTAACCAAATGAATCGATGTTTCGAAGAATCGAATCGGAATCGAACATTCCCAAAACACTTTCTGGAATCATCGTGACAGGCAGCAGGCGCCGTGCTGCCTCCGTGTTTGGGCGTTGTTTTTGTGCCAGGCTGTAGAACCAGTCCAGACGAATCGCGAGGTCAGGTTTCTACGTAAGCGATTGGAAACAGTAGCCACCGTGGTTTCGTAATACGCCAACTCTCCTCGACAACTGGCCTGGGCAACGCACAGAGCCAGCAGGACTACTCTTTTTAAGTTCACTCGAGATCGTTGTTCTCCAAACGATTTTCCTTCTGTCTTTAACTCTGGTCACATCAGGTGTAATTGCACGTAACTGGAATACATCCAGGTAATTCCACATAGTTATACGTCGAATTTACTCACAGGGACAGTATCTGCTGGTAAGATCTCTCTGTCTTCGATAAGTGGCGATCGGAATCTATGGATCTTGACACGTAAAAGATCACGCACTGGGACTCGAGAAAATTTTCCACTGACGAGATTAACGGCAACGAACAACTCGCCTGCATGGTATCCGTCAATCAATTCGTATATTTTTAATCGCGAGAATAGCCCCACGGTGCCTCGACTCGCGATCCGAGTATACAGGGTGTCCCATGCAACTGGAATAGGCTGTACCTCCTAAACGGTTCTTTAATCGCGAGAATAGCCCCACGGTGCCTCGACTCGCGATCCGAGTATACAGGGTGTCCCATGCTACTGGAATAGGCTGTACCTCCTAAACGGTTCGGAATAGAAGATGTTATATGTAAAAGTTAAATGGTATCAGACGGTGCATAATATGCAACTAATTTTATGCACTTTTGTGTATCGGTGCATCAGAAAAATGCAACTGCACTTTTTTTTAAAATGGAAACCTATGTTTTGGACTGGTGGTATCAGACGGTGCATAATATGCAACTAATTTTATGCACTTTTGTGTATCGGTGCATCAGAAATCACTTTTTTTTAAAATGGAAACCTATGTTTTGGACTGCACCAATCGATGCAGTTTCTTGTGCTCTATATAAAAGTACTAACATACTTATGCCCTAAACTTATTCGTTAGGAAGTTATCCGATGCATCGATATACAAAAGTGTATAAAATTAGTTGCATATTATGCACCGTCCGATACCATTTAACTTATAACATCTTCTTCTATTCCAATCCGTTTAGGAGGTACAACCTGTTCCAGTTGCGTGGGACACCCTGTATACCCACTTACCTCTGGTACGCTGACGGATCGACAAGAATTGATATTCCCCGCGTGGCGAAAGCCCGAGTGAAATGCCTTTCCCGTTTAATTTGTACGCGCGGGTCGTCGACCCGCCGCAAGGCCGGTAACTGTTCACATTAATATTGTGCTCGTACCCAGCGCCGCGGGATCGTGCCTTCGCGATCGACGGCGGCTGGTAACACGCGATGAAAAGGAATCGTTGTCGCGGAGGCGTGTTTTCGAGCTTTCCGATCCTCGCGACCGATGTTCCCGGAGGTTTAGTCTTCCAGTCCCCTTTGTACAGTCAGTTTTAGAGCGACCAGACGACCAGTTTAAGCTCGAGGAAGTAATTTAGATCTACTTTGATTGAAAAGTAACTTGTGAAGTATGATAGGATTTCTTTAATTCTTTTTATTCTTTTTTCCATTCTTCCTCCCCGATCACCTTTGACTCGTGGGAACACCGTATATCTACGTTTTGCGTCCCGAATTATCCCACTCCCACGAAAGAACATATCGAACGCTGGGGCGAGATCGGAGATCGTTTAAATAGGTCGCGTCGCATCTGCCCACGAATACTACGATGAAGAAGAGGCCCGAGGAGTTCCCCACGGGATCGGAAACAAAAACGAGCAAGCGTCGAGAAAGGGTGTCGCCGCTCTCGACACGATGGATGCAGGATCTATGTTTAGAGCGGACGCATCTGCGTTTCGGGAACGGCGACGACCACGACGATTCGACGCCAGCTTGTCTATCGGTCTCACCTCTGTGTTTTCCACCGCGGTTCTAACTATGGATGTTCGATTCCGACTCGATTCTTCAGAAGATCGATTCCCTTGAGGGCCATTCCACGTGAAGTCGGACACTTCTTGTAGGAACATTTCGAATTTTGTTGACAAACATATCTCGAAGGATTTCTGAAAATTTTCAAAATTGTTCACTTCGCAACTGTTTTGAAATTTATGGTAAATGTTGCGCCGGGAAATGTGAAAGCAATTTAGACGTGCTGTGTATGGGTCCGTAGATGTTATTAACCGAGGTATGGTAAATTCTCGATGAGTGTTCGAAAGCTCCTCGGGACTGAACATTAAATATTTCATGAACCAATGGTCATATTTGGCTGAAACAAACATCGTTGACTTCAGAATTCCAGGATTTATCACTGTGCTAAACCTGATTGAATAGTCAGCATTACACCTGGGAACCTCCCCTTGTCAGCGTCGAAGAACCTTCGAACACTCATCGAGGATTTACTGTGTCCCCCGCCCCCTCCCCCGTCCGACAAACGGAATCTGATTAATTTAGTCGGATGATTACTTGAATATAGTATCTTGTATGCGTATGGTATGTCCTCTCTAACCAAACCCTCGTTTTTCCTCTGTTTTCAGACTCATATACTGTTGATGGATGCGTTCCTCCAGAACAACAGGCTGGATCATGTCTCTAGGGTGATGGCCTCGCATCCAACATACTTGGAACACTTCCTGCGTACGCAACATTTCATCCTGAGAGGCGACGGTCCGCTTCCATACGACTACAGGCATCTGATCGCCATTATGGTGAGTGCCACACGACTTTTTTCCCCTCTCCCCCTTCATTATTTAATTTATTTCTTTTTTTTTTTTATTCTCAGAATAAATAACGAACTAGTAGTCACAGTAACACCGTTTTTTAAATGTCATTTAAAAAAGTTTCGTTGCTCCGATCATCAAGAAATGTTCGAGATATTGTCACTAAAGTGTTAAAGTAAACGTCTACTGCAGTGGGCAAATTGCAGTTAGCAGGTTAATCTTCGTCGTGTCGTAAAAATATACTCTAGAACGAATTCGTACGAAAGTAAGTCGGAATTAAAACCGTGTGTCACGTCACCCGAAGTATTTCGATCGAATTGTCAATTTTCAATAACAAATCCTCGAGACTGTATTTCAAGTGGTGGAATCGTGACGGTATCGGGCACTCGATGGGAAGCACATGTTTTTCACACACCGCGTCCGTCGTGTTGTTTTCGTGGCTCTTGAAGCGATACACGCGCGAGGCGTGCGTAATCTCGTAGCGTGAGTAATAAACTGAAATGCGATTATTGTGTGCCGGCACTCACGAGAGCAGGCAGCAGTTGTACTCCGTATCGGTAGCGGGTAACCGTCTTTCATCTGGGTTCCTCGACACCGAACAGAGTCGTCGCAGGTCGTTGGGCCAAAGATTATCAAAGAAACCGCGCAAGTGCACCGGGTTTCGTAACATGACGTGTGTCCGCTGTCCGAGAAGTCGCATTGGAAAATAAGTAACCGTGCGGAATTAACGATGACCAGAGTTCCCATGGCTAAGAGTTTTAAAGAATTTTAATATGCTTTTATTTACAAAAGGATATATGCCACGGTGCTTGAAGTTCATAGAATGAACACTAAATAATTAAAGCTTGTTGATGATAGAAAAAAAAAACTGAGAATCAACGTAGAGGTCGCATATGCCCCTTTTCCATCGAGCCTCCGGATTATTCGGAGGAATATAATCCTCGGGAATCATCGAATCGTGACATTCTATCGAACCTTGTGTGTCTCAGACGGTATCGACCGGCGTGATAACGACACGCGACGTGCCGGTAGTTGACGAAATAATATCGTCGGCTCGAAAATGATCGACCGCAAAAACACGTTATCGGACACGATAAAAGACAGGCGCGTGAGGGCGTCGAGAGGGGGAAGGGCGTTTAAGTGGATGGAGAATCGGCGGGGAATCAACGGGAGAAAAGGTGATTTCCGGTCGGCACACGGAGGAGCCGCGATAAAGCGATAAGATATCTGGAAAACAGCTTTTCTGCCGGTAAACATTCCATCTGGCGGGGCTGTCGTGTCAGGATTCGCTCGTGCATGGATCCTCGTGCTTGCCTCACACGCGAAAATAAATCAGTATTCCGAGATATACAACACCGGACAAATATTATCGGACAAAAACCGTTTCCTGTAGTATTCGAATCAAGGATACTACTGACGTTACATTAAATAATGAACGTCTGTCGAGAGCAGGAACTCGGTAAATTTATCGATCAACAAGATTTCGGGGCCTCTTCCCTCCCTTATCCGTCCATTTTTTCGTTTCTTTGAAAAACAGAAATTAACGAAGTTTCGAATATCCATCGATTTCAGTGACAGATAACGAACCGGACACACGTGCCCAAGGATCTTCCATCGTTTACCTGCATGCATTGTATTTCCATTACACCCTAATTTCTATTCAATCCACGCCGACATGATTCTCCGATTCAATGTAGGAGGGGAAGGGGGGGGGGCATCACGTTCCGCAAAATTTGGTGTGTCTGGGATCTGCAGGCTTCTCTTATCGCTTATCACGACTCTCGAGTCGATCGATCTGTATGGTAAACACGTGTCTTGTTTACGCGCTCGATCACTCCCGCCCCTTCCCCCCCCCCATCCTCTTGTTCGTGTCCGCCTATTCGTTTCCCGTTCCACGATAGAAGTCCTCCCGGTCATTTGAATTTCCGATGTAATTCCAGCGCGATCAAAACAAACCATTAAGAAGATCGAGTTCCCACGTGTCCACCAGCTTCCATTATGCCCCACCTCCCTCCCACATTCCCCTCCTCCCATCAGGGCGATTAATCTCGAGGTTCGTCCCATCGTCGCAGCTCGTTTCCATCGGGTCTCTTGTTTTCTTTTTTTTTTTGCAGCGTGTGTCACGTCTGGCCATACGACCGTCCATCGTTGCGTCGAAAATTGGAAGGTCTCTCCTTCGTGTTTGTCCCTCGAACGTACAATATAACCCCACGCGATGCACACCATCGACTCTCCTCCACGGCTTTGCTCAATTTCGTGCCTCGATACGTCGCGTCGCTGGCAATTTGTCTTTTCACCCTTTCATCTCTCCCCCTTCCAATTCCCCTCTCGAGAAGACACTTTCTTTCGCGGGTTCGTTGGGAAGGTCGGTCGATGCGTCGTTGGTTCGCCGATGGAAGCTACGAGACGACACGCACGCGTCGATACACTTCTTTTCAGCGTGTTTCTCTCCACCATTCAGGTGTATGAAGTTTTTGTCTGGGGGGGAATTTCGTGGGATCGATTGCGCGAATATTTAGGGTTCTTAATTTGCTTGGTAAAATGTGAAATGTAATGATTTTAAAGGAAATTGATGGAAAGTATCGTTTTCTTTTTCAGGCCGCAGGCAGGCATCAGTGCAGCTATCTTATAAATCTGCAGAAGGGAGAGTTCATTCTCCAGGGAGGCGACCCATCGTGGCTTCAAGGATTGAAATCGATTCCCGAGAAGCTGCAGGATCTCTATGAGATTAACAAGATTCTAGCCCACAGGCCGTGGCTGCTGAACAAAACGCACATAGAGGTGAGCTTGTTCGTTTACTCTTAAATGACCATGTTAACCTCTTTGGGAATATTAGCACCTATCTGTACATTTAGTTTTACTTTCATTCGTCGTTTGAAAAAATTGTAAATAAATATTCACTACATAATTCGACGACAGGAAAAGGTATTCTACCAATTGATTGTCGTTATTATTTATAAATATATTTCTAGTAAATCACAGCTGAAGAATAAAAAAAAGTATTGTTTCTGGTCTTCATAAATTCGTCCCTGAAGAGGTTAACTCCGCTCGATAGATGGTTGTCTGGAATCTTTCTGTGGATGTTTCTATACGTATTTGGAAGTAAAGAGGAGACATTGAGGGTGATATTCTTGGCTTGCAGAAACTGACTAAAGGCACGGACAGTTGGTCCCTGGCCGAAGTGGTCCACGCGATAGTTCTCTTGGCCCATTTCCACTCCCTTTCGTCTTTCGTATTCTCCTGTGGTATCAACGAGGAGCTGGACAACGTAGCCGGGCATCATTACAAACAGAACGTCCAGGATAATAGCAATAATCTACCAACTGCCAAAGACAAGATTTCCAGTAGTCCCAAGAAGATTCTCAACGGCGATGGCAAGACTGGTAAGTTCAACGGTCCTCTCTAGAGTAAACACCCCTAGTAATACATTCACGATCCTTGAGCTACTAACCTGTAACGTTGAATGTCATTCGTGATTAATTCAGTTGTTTCCACAATAACAATAGTTTCATACTCGCAACTATTACCCTAAATTCCCTGTAATATCAGTGTACACTGCTCGTCAGGATTATAAGACACCCCAAAATTTGTCAAGTTCATTATCTTCCATGTACGAGAAATACGTAGACAATAATGAACTTAACAAATTTTGGGGTGTCTTATAAACTTAACGAGCAGTGTATTAACACCAAACCTACCACAATCTGTCATAGGACTAGTTTTCCCGTTCTAATTTTTACCCTGTTGAAGGTTTTACTTGTAGGTTTAGTGTTCGAAACGAAGCATACAGGTTATTCTTGTTTTATCAAATGCGATCGTTCGTGCTATAGCTAACGAGTTCATTTGTCCCCCGGTTGTCGAACTAAATTCCAACGTCGATCGATGATTTATGACAGTCTCGGCCTGCACTTGTTACAGTCGGTTGATTTACAAACTCGTAGTCGATCTTGACCACGCGGGATTAATTTTATTGGTCGACGCGATAAACGAACGGTGCCGTTTCAATCTGTGCAGAAACCATGCCGTCACCGCCATCCTCGCCCAGCATAGTCGGCGAACAGGAGGTCGGCGTCGAGGCGCTTATGGAGAGAATGAAGCGTCTATCCGAGAAGTCAGAATCCTATCAAATCACCCAGGAGGAGCTGTCGAAGAGATTCGAGACCGTCGAGACACAATCGGCGGAGCTCGCAGCGGCGCCCCAGAGGAGTAGCTCGGTCCTCGACTCCGACATCGGTCACTTCATCGAGGATCCGACCTTCATCTATCAAGACTTCGCCAAGGTAATTATTTACAACCAGTTTTAATTACAGCCAGTCTTACAATTTCACGCAAAGACTTACAAGAGGAGGTCACCAAATGTAAGTCCCAGATTTGGTTCAATCTTTTCTCACTTTAAAGTATGGAATATGCAGAAACGAACTCTATTGGGGTTCTGTTATATTGGGATTCGTTGTTGAGAAAATTAACAATAAACATTTTAGAGAGCAGGATAAAATGTAATTTGAAAGGCTGGAGGCAAAATCGGGGTAGGCGAGTCTGTTAAAGCAGCCAGTACTGCACAATCCTTAGATCGGCGGTTCGAGTCCCGTCATACCCCATTATATTTTTTTTCCACATAAATTATTTTTTTTTTATTCTTACGTGGTTTATATTTATTACTATTCTGTTGAAATTATTCGGAAGTAAAGAAACATTTATAAAATTGTATTTTATTTATTTATGAGTAAGATACGACAATAGACCAGCAATGTCACGTCGTTAAAAATATTCTACTTTGTTTATTTCCGAATGAAGATAAACCGCGTGTAATCATATAATGTAAGAGTACAAAAGCCCAGAATTCCGTTTCATTTCAAGATCTATCCAAAATCCACTGTAGTAAAACTAGGATTTCGATCGAACCCAGTTGACCGACTCGGCCACAGGGCCCAGGAGTAAATTACCCAGTCTGTCCGTGCCGTTTTTAGGTGCTCGATTCGAAAGTACACTTCAAGGCGAGACGGAGCTCACCGATGAATATTTAAGTTCGTCGGTTCGATCGTCGTTTCCACCGCGATACCATGAATATTTACGAGGCGACGACACGCGGCGCGTGTATATCTCCGTCGCCTTAACTGTTTCGCCTTAAGCGTAGGAAGGGGGGTTAAGCTTCGAAGAACGAAGGGATAATGGAGGCGTAAAATGGTTTCGAGCGAGATCCTCTCATATGAACACGAGATTTCATGCAACGATTTTCCGTTTGATTTCAGCGCGGTCAACTGAACGACATACCGACGTTCCGCGTGCAGGACTACTCATGGGACGATCACGGATACTCGCTGGTAAACCGGCTTTACAACGACGTCGGTTACCTCCTCGACGACAAGTTCAAGACAGCCTACAACTTGACGTACTATACGATGGGCACGCACAATAAGGTGGACACGTCGCGGTTCAGACGGGCCATATGGAATTACATTCAGTGCATGTTCGGGATCAGGCACGACGATTACGATTACAACGAGGTCAATCAGTTACTCGAACGAAGCCTGAAGACTTTCATCAAGAGCGCCGTCTGCTATCCGGAACGCGTCACCAAAAGGGATTACGATCGCGTCATGAGGGAGTTCAAGCACAGTGAAAAGGTTAGTATTCGTCGTTTCTTAACCGACATTCTCTTGTGCAAAATATAGCTTGACAAGTTAGGAAATATTCTTTGGTGTCATTGACATTCTTGACTTTTTGATAGATTTTAAAAATTATTACCATGAATCTTTGTAAACTTATGGAAATCTTTGTTTCGGTTAAGTCTCTTGGTGATGTCTCCTAATTCGTAAACAGTCGAGATCAATCGGATTGTTAATCTGCGATTGATCCCTAACAACTGTCTGTTACGTTCTGTTCAATATTCATGTGAGAATCATAGACAATGCTGAATAAAGTACTATGCGGTCGGAGAAAAAGATTATACTCGTCGGATCCGATCGATATTACTGTCCCCGTTCATTCGGACAATCGAGTAGAAAACACGTGTAGACGTAACCAGACAAATACCTGTGACCTTGTTTCCACACGACCTCCTTCCATATTTATACACGTTTTTCAGTTTCACGTGTACAGAACATCCGGGGGGCGGTCGTGTTGCTAAAGAAAGCGAAAACAGAAGCGATAATAGTACCGTCTAGCGCCGCCAGATGGCTTCGTTATCGCGGAAAGATATAAAATACTCAGAAACGAAACGATTACAAATTAGTAATCCGATCGAATCAAGACAATCTCTCTTCTCCCACTCAAGTGTACACCTTCCAGACGTTAATTGTACTATTCTGTTTATGTTTCTTCAGGTCCACGTGAACCTGATGATCTTGGAGGCACGAATGCAAGCGGAGCTGCTGTACGCACTCCGCGCGGTGATGCGGTACATGACCTAAACGGGGCAGGCGTTTATCCCTTCGTCTACTTGCTGTCAGTCAGTTTGTCGTCGGTTTTTTTTTTCAATCGTATAAGCTCTCGCGCTGTTCACGGTTTCTCGCGAGGAGAACCGTCTTCGCGGACCTCTGCACACGACACGGAAGGAACGAGCGAACGCGACACCGATTCTCTCTCTCGTACACATACACACATAAACATATATACACACAGAAGAAACCACACATTACACACGGTTGCAGCATATAAAATGATATATATACATATATATATATATATATATATTCCTCACACGGTACTACATACACACACGGATACTCTTATGGTGAGGACAGAGACAGAAGATTCACCTTACACGCAAGAAGCAAGAAAAAAAAAATTCTGCCTCGCCATGCCGATGTGTCTTGGATGAGACGTGGTCGCACGGTGTGTTGGCCGTTTGCTCGTCTCTGGTAACTTCAAACGATAGGGAGATCTTTGATGAGTCAGTTGCTGATCGAACGTGGAACAGAGAGAGAGAGAGAGAGAGGAAAGGAAAGGAAGATTTAGTGTGTTTTTTTGTTGTTGTGAAAGACGCGCGGAGGACGACGCGGGAAAGACACGTTGCTCTTGGGACACGATGAAAAACTGTGAACATCCGCGGCAAGACAACGAGAGTAAACTTTCAGACAAGAAAGAAAAAAAAACCGTGTAACGATCGCGCGTGGCAAATTCGATGATGCACCGCGATCGACGCGTGTTTCGCCGTCGCGTATTCGGAACGCACGGTTTTTCTTTTCACGGAGACCCCTGGTGGGGATCGGTAAACGAAGAGGAAGAGATAGAGAGAGAAAGAGAGACAGTGTGACGTAAGCACGAAGAGGAGAGAGACGTGACACAAGCAAGTGTGGGAGAAACAGAGAGAGAGAGAGAGACAGATTTATCGTTTGTTTTGTAAATAGACACTCGTATTTTTCTATGTTCGCGATGATCGTAGTAGACTGTTATTTGCGCGTTTCGTTAACGTTTCAGATCTGTTGAAGTTTAGCCCCCCCCCCCTCACCATCCCCCTATCATCAATTTTCTGCCTAATGTCGCTCCCGTTGGAAGTTTTAACGAATCATTTATATTTCATTGTATCTTTTGCTTTTTAAACGATGCTACCACCTCTTGGTTCGTGCTCGCCCCTGGAAGATCGCGATTAATCTCTCATATATGTTCTTGAACGATCAACGAGGATCGAACGATCAACGAAGATCGAACGAGAGAGAGAGAGAGACAAGTGGAGAATTTAAGAGGTGAAGCATCACGTGTCTTTATTTTGCACAATAATCGACTCCTCCGCGGCACTTTTATGGAACGATCACGTCGATGATCGCAATTCCAATCGTAAAGGGTAGAATCGATAACCCACGTTTATTCAGTCCCACGATTGACCAAGTCGTTCAACACGGTTTTATTCGTCCCGAGGCCCCCTGACTCGGTAAACCGACCGCAGGCGATCCTTCTTGATCCGCCGCCCTGCTTCCGGGAACAATGAAACTGGGGACGGACCGCGGATTACGATCGGATCTAAACGGTAAAGAGGAAATTTTTGTCTTTCGCGTAACGGGTCGCGACCCCCCTCCCCCCGCGCTGTACATACGTTTTGAACCTCATTTAATTCAATTGACTATATCGTGTAACGACAAAGAAAGCTACAATAATATAACAAAAAAAAACGACAAAGTGTACCTTCGTTATATTTCTTATTTTATTTTTTTTTTTTTTTCATCGTCGTATCCGTGTGTCGAGAGTATAAATGTATGAAGAAATGAGAGAAAAAATCTTAGATCATAGGACGATCTGCGCGGGTCCACGCGGCTCCACCAAACCTCTGGTGTTCCTCCAAGATGGCGGAGCCGCGAGCGCGCAGAGACAAGCAATGCCTGTCTGGCTGTGTTTATTTACGACGGATCACGGCGCTATACTGTGACCAATCCCCCTCCCCCCGATCTGCGACTAGTTTTTCCGACGGTGGGTCGAAATAAAAGAACGGGATCGTCGTCGTCTTTCAGCGCCCGGTTGTAACCACCCTCGAGAAATATTGTACATTCGTCCGGTTTTGATCGCGGAGAACGGGCTTCTCCGACGTGCGTTTATACAGACATAGGCGGAAGGCACAGAATGGGTTCGAGCGATTAACAGAACGTAGACACGGGAGCTTCTCTCGTGGAAACAAGAAATAATGTCTCTGCAACGAACGTTTATATCAGGGTCTGTGGCCCGATCAGGGTATTTAAAAATTAACGCATCGACCTCGGATCGTCCATTCTGTCTCTTCTGTCACGGGACATACGCCCGTTAGTCGTACTCTCGAAGCCGCTGCGAACATGTTTCGATTATACGAGCACGTCCATCGCCGACCGGAAGTGTGAACTGTGAGGACCAAACGAAGGGGCGAACGACAAAACGAACAGAAAAATTGTGTACGACCAGATGTTAATTTCACAATTGTGAGAGTATTTATCGACAAAATGTTCGATGCTTTTCGCGTAGATCGTGTTTAACTTAACCGAGTAGATCGTGATTGAATATAATAAAGACTCGATGAGAGTTTGATAAGAAGTTCCTCGTGAGAGTTTCTACTTCAGCCCCACTACTGGGGAGAGGAAGTCGTGGATTGTGCCAAGCGCATAATTTATTGTCCCCACCCCGCTTTTGTTGCCGAGGCTTAAGATTTGGGCTAATAATAATGTGGTGTTGAAACTCTTATCGAGTCTTTACTGTATATCGGAGGATCGAACGTTGTGATGGTCGTTGGCTTCGCCTCTTCTTCCGACCACCGAGCCGGTCGTCGACACACGCTCCGCGACCGTCGTGTGCGAGGAGGACTAGAGAGAGAAGCTGTTTAAAGAAATCAAATCCAATGTCAAGTCGTTACGGTACGGAACGTGGCACAAATGAAAAAAATGAAAACGAGATGAGACAGAAGCTCTATTACACGCGAATTACACGTGGTCTGTGATCGCATATTATAAATATATACGATAATATAGATGTATAACGTATATAAGCATTGTCGAGACGAGAAAGGAAAGAAATATAAGGAAAAAAATTGTCGATATGTTATACATATATTATATATATATATATATACACACACGTATGTGCGTGTGTCGTACATAAATAAAATGTACAACAATAACGCGTGTCCAACGTCGAACAGCGAAGAGAAGTGAGAAACGGGAATCGCGTGTACTGATATCGTAGACGGGTACGAGGCGGAAGGAAAGCGAGGCGAACAAAACGGAGAAAAGAAAATAAAACACACATACACACGTACATAGAAACACATAAAAGCAGCGTGTAAGGGAGAACGATACGGAAGATATACGTGTAGCGTTTATAATAACATTGTCTCTTTATTATGTAATTGTGTATGTGCGCGCTCTGGAATTTATTGTATATTCGTGTATATGGATTCGGAGCAATCGTGTTTCGTGGAACCAGCGGGTCCCCTCCTGTCTCTCGATCGTTAATCCAACAGCGAAAAAGGACCTATGTGTGTGTGTATATCGATCGTCAGAATCGACTTTTTAAATAATTTGTCGCTTCTGGTTCGCGATCGAAGGACGAACGGGGGACACGTATCGTCGACGAATTAAACGTAGAGAACCAACGGACACACATAAGTAGGAGTACACGAGTACAGAACACCAATATACAAACACACAATGAAACACCAACATACGAAACACACGATAAAACACACCGAGAAAAACTTTTCGACCAACAGCGACGCGTTTGTCTCTCAAACGACGTCCCCACATATCACTTGATAGAGAGAAAAAAAAAAAGAGTTTATAGAGAGGCAAGCCTCGATCTCGCGCGATCCTATCCGCGTTACGAGACACGAGATTCTTTTCTTTCTTTGTTACGTTCTCTTCTCGTTTACTTTTTCACGTGTGTTCTCTGTCGTTCAGTGATGACGCGACACACACCACGGAATCGTTTTGACGTAGGACTACCACGGATATTAGAAATGTTTGTTGCAAAGGTTGCGACGAGCTGCGCGAACGACAGTATTCCATTCTTTTACGATTGTTCATTTTCCTCGGGCTTCGCTTCGACACTCCCTTTTCCCTCTATTTCTCTCTCTCTCTCTCTCTCTCTCTCTCTCTCTCTCTCTCTCTCTTTTTTCTCTTTCACAATTCTTCTTCTTCTCTTGCCTGTGTTCTAGACGTGACGGTTTCGTCGTCCACATTTTTCCCCCTTATTCTTCCGCGCATCCACGACGGGAACAGAGAACGCAGTGATTAACCGTTTACAGGGCCGCCTTGAACGTGATTTCCGGTTTCCTTGTCAAACTTTATCATTATCATCATCATCATCCCCCGTTAACGTCTCGTGTTCTCGCGGCGTCCAAGAACCCCTTGAAACGCGCGTCTTTCCTACGGCCTGCAGTCGAGACCGTGCTCGTAAATATCTTTAAGGATCCCCGCGCGTGCGTCCGTTCGTTAGTCCAGGACACGAACGATATATTTAACGTAGTCGTGAAGCTATTTAATTGTAATTTAATTGTTTTCGATCCCCGACGTGTGTCGATACGCGGCATGTAAACGGTTAAAGATGCAAACATCTCCGACCAAAGAGACTTCTGAGCCGTTGAGGCTCAACTTTCGAGTGTATATCCGTTAGAGTCTTTCGTTACGCGTATCCGTTTCTGATCGAATCCTTCAGCCACTTTCGTGCTTCGATTTTTATTTTTACCGAGGGACAGATTGATCGTCAAGATATAATGTTTCGGTCTTATATATGCGATTTTAAAATCAACTTGCAATTCTGAGCTTCGATTTGTAGAATCATGGATTTAGTCCATGTATCTTCATCTCTAATGTAGATTATAGTAGAATTATTTTAACGAAACAAGTCACTTTTCAAAGATAAAATCCAGAAAAACAGTATCGAGAGTGACTCTGATTTAAGTCCAAGTAGAGTGCCACATATGCAGAACAGAGTTTGATTCGAATTATCTGTAAAGAAAATACATACTGAACCAATTAGTCAGAATATTTATAGTAAATGAAATTAGATTCTCACTAGAGAACAACGTTGATCCGAGTGGGAACAGTGGCTTAACAATCCATCGAAAAGATCGATCTGCAAACGGGATTCGCCATTCTTTAACCTTTCTCCTATACTTCCCTTCAGAAACTGTCTCTTGTTTCTATTTCTCTCTGTCTTCTGCCCGACCTCTCCGAGTGTCGCGAACAAAGAGGATCGCGAGGGAGCGAGATAGCAATATATCTGAGCGAAAAGTGTGAAACTGCCACACTATAGGGGGATGAAGAAAACGATTCGTGGGGAAAATCACGGTGTTCGCGACGCCGATGATCGGTGTCCGGACTGATCTCATAAGTAATAAGCATTCTGTTAGACTGGGAAGAAGTTTGGCGAACCGGTTTTTAGAGTAGAAACAGAGAAAAAGCGTCGGTTATCGAAAGAACAGCTAGAGACAGAGAGAAAGAGAATCGAGGCGGCGAGAGAATTATTATTTTCGATGTTTACATTTTTCTCAACTAACTTTCTTTTTTTCTAACGCGAAACCGAGTCTCATGCGGACGAAACGATAATAGTAGAAGCTTTTAAATATTGCGTCCTCTGTTTGATGAAGAAGGGGTGACAGAGTAATTGTTCGTAGTAAAAGCACTAGGATATTTCGCAGCTTCTGGCTTCTCGCTTCTTCGTCTCGAGTCACACGAGGCTGAATATTGTACAAGGGGGTGAAAATACGACGCCACTTGTGCACTTGTGATGATGGGAAGCGGGAAAGCCCTGGAGGTGGTCACGAGGCCGAGAGGACCGGAAACTCTCGAACGAGGCATTTTGTTCTACGTATATATACATATATATATATATATATATATTTATAAACACATGGACACAATACACAGAAGCATATACATACCCCAATACACACACACGCGTACACATTGTATCTTTTCTTTGTATTCTTCTTTAGTTTTTTGTTTTTGTTGAAATTCCGTTTGCGGAATGATCGACGAGCTAACGGTGGACACAGCCTCGTGTGAGACGGTTCCACCACCGGTGTTCCGTAT